CACTTTATAGGTTAACATCAACTACCCCACCTACATTACTAGTGTTTTCCGTCATATTTTGAGCATTCATTTGGGTAGTGTTTGACATTTTAATTTTTGATTCCTGAATCGCACAAATGAACAAGTAAGAATTAATATGCTTTGTTATCACAAAAACTGAAATCCTATTTTTATTAAGATGCACACACACAAAATAATATATAGATACTTATAAATGCATATCAAATTGAAGATAAGAAAAAATATTACCGCTGCGCGATTCTCTCGAAAATATGAGAGATGCAGAAAACTAAACTTCAGTAAAAGATAGAAATATAAGATTTTATACAAGAAATATTGTATAAATACACATATCGAACTGAAGATAATACAAAGAAATTACCGATTTTTGTGCGATGTTGTCCACGACCTGAGAAATTCATAAAATAATATAATTTTGACAAAATAAGAAACCTAAAATTAGAGTATAAAATTGACAAAATTACCAATGATTTTCAATTGAAATGCAATACAGGACCTGCACCACAATAATATAACAAACAAATTAGATATAAGAGAGAACGGAAATATGAATAAAGAGAGAGGAGAAACCTGTTTGAATGAAGAAAGGAGTGACAGCTGTGAAGGAAGAATGAAGTAAGAAACCCTAATTCTTATTGTAATAGCCTATATATATGTGTTATAATTTTTTGAATTTTTCTTTCTTTTTTAAACATTAATCAATATCAATTTTACTAGAAAAATCTGAATGTGGAACACGCTTTTGGTAACATTAATGAATGTGGCATTAACAATCAATAACATAGTCAATTTATAGTAGTACTCAATATAATAATGTTGTTTTTTAATTAAATACCCTTCTTTTTCAAAGCTATCAATATTGTAATTTCAAACAATAATAAATTACACAAAAGAAAGGAGTGCACTTTAAAAATAATTTTATAAAACATGAAAGTTATATATATATATATATATATATATATATATAGTATTATGTTAAATATTAATCGGACGTGGATCTTTAGCGGATCAGATAAGCCTAGTTCCATATTCGCTCCATATAATTTGGATTATGGATCTTCTTAATCGAATCAGGTCCATCGGATCTATAATCGGACAATTATCCTAATAAATTGAACCGGATTCGGATCGGATCCAGATTGAAATTCGCCCCATTGATAGCCCTATATAAATATCAAAAACAAATTATCCACCAATAATTAAAACCTCATGATAATAATATCCAAATTAGCTTAAAGTAAGGAAAGCAACTTGAAAATGTAATTAGATCATAAAATGCTCAAATGAAACGAATAGGAATTCAAGAGCGTGAAAGGTACACCCTTTTCGAGAATACGGCTGATGCATCCCTTAGTTGCTTCCCATCAATCATCATTTCTTTCACAGGCAAGCTCCTCCGCTCATCAATTTGCAATTCCAATGCTCGTTCACCCAATCTCACTCAATTTATGCTTGCAAATCCTCAATATTTTCCTTGCATTTTCATCCACCTAAAACACAACACACAAACAAAAACAAAACAAAACAACAATATAAACAAAAAAACACAAGCAACGAAACAAACAAAAAGAAGGGAAAAAACTTGAGTTGCCTCCCAAGAATCGCTTCTTTATAGTCGGTAGCTCGACTTAAAACTTCTCTTTTTCTTTTAGGGTGGTCAATAATCGAATAGGATCCCATCGGGATCAAGTATAAGACCCAACCTTTTAGCTTTCCTTTCGTCTCAAAGTTTGGTCTTTCCATTGTAAGCTCTTTTGGGACGAATTTGAACCTCACATCAAATCGAAACCTTTCATCTCTCGGTTCAAATATTTTGTAGTCTTTTACCATAATTATCCATGTTGCTTTGCTTGGGAGAGTCCATTTATCTTCGTCAAGAATAACCAAGTCCACATAAGAACATTTGATGACATTTTGGTCAAACCCCTATTCCATGATGAAGTTGTCTTCCTTTTCAAGCTCTTTCGATCCACCTTGTTCCTCCTCTAATATAACATCATGAACAACCATGAGAGGGATCACATCCTCATGATTTTTCAATATGATCCGAGGAGGATCAATAGAGTTTCTCCATTCTTCACAACCCATGTGGGGAATGATTTACGTTTCTAGTAGGAGGCCCATTTGTTTCTAACATTTCACTGGGTACTTTTGAACTTTCTTTAGGAGCAATCGGCCCATCATAGGCTTTTCCATTCATCGATGTGATGTCTTTGCAATGCTTATTTATACCTTGTTTTGGTGTCTTGGTAGTACTTGGCAATGCCCCTTGATGTCGAATGCTCAAAGCTTGAGAAACTTGTCCCATTTGGATTTCTAGGTTCCTCAATATGACCCAATGCTCTTGATATCTTGCATCGTTGATTTGTTACATTTTAGTGAATGCATCTCCCCAAGATGGTTTTGTCTCTACTGGAGGTTGAGAATATTTGTGATAGCTCTGTTGCATGAATAGGGTAGTCGTCATTATAGTCGGGTGTGATCCACCTCTCCACTCACTGTTCCTTGGATAATTCAGGTCATTCCCCCACCTGGTATTGTAGCTATTGTAGGTAGGGGTTAGCATTCGGCTCGAATCGGACAAAAGTTCGGTCCTTGAATTTCGTGGACCATTTACCAGACCGAAATACAAAAACCGAACCGTTCGGTTCAGTCCAAATATTCCCAAAGTCTAAATTAAACCGGTTTTTTTCCTATCAAATTTAACGGTTTGGTCCGGTCCATTCCAATTCAGTGCGGTTCGGTCCAAACAAACCAAAAAAATTTAAATCTATATTTTAACATCGAACAACTAACTTTAAGACAATATCCAAATGTTAAAGTCGCAAAAATAAACAGCTAGTTTAAAAAGTCACCAAATAACAACATCAACAAATAATCTCAAAATATCAACACAAAGTAATGACCCCTTAACATCACCAAATGTTTATGCTGAAGTCAAATCTATATTTAAAATTTTAAAGTAATTAGCAATTTAAAATAAATAAATGTAATAACAACACAACAATTAATTTACCGTTATACATGTTAGCAATGAGTTCAACTTCACTTTCGGGCTTCAAAAATTGAATGGGTGCTTGACGAATTCAGTCTTGCCCACAAATTAAAGCTTGAGAGGTCTTTGGTGCCAATGAAGCACGATAATCATCAATGACACGACCTCCAATGCTAAAAGCAGACTCCAAAGCAACTGTAGATATGGACATGACAAATACATGACGTGCCAATGACGATAACACGGGATACATTGGAATGTGCATTTTCCACCACTCCATAAGATCAGATCCTGGAGAATCTTTCACTATATGCTCACTCAAATATCTTTCCAATTCAGTTTGATCATTCATCCCGATCTCGCAAAACATTTGTTGATATTGCTTTCTTACATATCTCATTTTTTGTCTTTCTCGTTTAGCCACACTAGTATAAATGCTCCAAGAATTGTGCTTGTGCCACTTTCATTAGCACTTGAGGAAACTTCCGCATCAGGCATATTTGACTTATACTCGTTAAACAGCTCAATCATAGCATCATTAGCCAAATTTACGAATCTTGACCCTTCAGTAATAATGTGCATGTTTTTGATAACATGATGCACATAACTGAATTTGTTATGTAGGTCTAGCATAACTGCAACACACAATATCATGTTCATCTTATCATTGTCCCCAAAATATTTATCAAATTTCTCTTTCATTCGTTTTGCTATTTCTCTCAAGTGAGTATCAAAAGACCCCATCCATTCATTTAACAAGTCATCTACATCACAAATATCATCAAGAAAAGTGTTCGATGTCATGTACAAAGAACCTGATACTCGGAGGGTTAGATCATAAAAAGTGTTGTAGTATTTTCACCATATTTTCAACAATGGTCCAATCATCTCTTGTGGGGAAACCAATTCTTCCATAAGGTCCAGTGGCGCGAAAAACTCAGCCCGAAGTTCAGCATCACACAATTCATATCTTTCAATGACACGTTGGAAAATCAAAGCCAACTACAACATCAAATGCATAGAATTCCATCTCATTGGACAATCCAAAGACAACGATTTCTTTGCTTTCAATATTTTCTTCAAGTTGAAAATGTTCAAATTTAAGCAACTGAGCTGAAGATTGCCTAACATACCTCACCAAATTACGAACTCGTTCAACTGATTGACTCACATCTTTTAATTCATCTTTAACAACAAGATTAATTATATGAGCCACACATCTCATATGCAAGAATTTCCCACCCAAAAGTGCAGTCTCCTTCTAATAAACCTATCTCTCAGACATGCCACACTAGTATCATTTGCAGAAGCATTATCAACCGTAATTGTTAAAACATGAGAAATACCTCAATCACCTAAATATTTTTCAATCAACAGACAAACTTCATCACCTTTATGACTAGGGCATGGAATGAAATTAATAATTCTTTTATGTAGTTTCCATTGATCATCAATAAAATGTGCATTCAAACACATGTAGTTAAGCTTTTGGTTCGAGTTCGTCCATGTGTCGGTAGTAAGTGAAAGTCTATGCACATTTTTTCTAAAGTAATCTTTCAACTTAGACTTTTCCTCAAGATATATCTTAAAGCAATCTCTAGCAACCCTTGTCCTATGAGGGATAATGAATTGTGGACATGCAACTGACATCATAGACTTGAAACCTTTCATCAACAATAAGAAATACATTAACAACTTTTCTAACAGCTTCCTGATCAAATTTCCACAAAGATGACACCTCTCTATGGTCCTCTTCACCCTCATCCCCAGTCACACTACGACAAAAACTATGAATTGTATGACTATCATTTGTACTTCTAGCAATATTATCAGGGTGTAGTCCCTTCTCTCCCACTTCACACCTCGGAACGCCCCGTTCTTATAGAGATAAACGCGCTTTCACATCTTCTTAACCCGAAATAGCTGGGGAGAGGAAAGGATCCTTTGTTTGAGGGTACTCCCGAGAACAGATCCAGTGGAGACAGGGTGGGGCCTGTACCTCAAAGGATTAGAGCACGTGGCTATGAACCACGGTGTCGGGGGTTCGAATCCCTTCTCGCCCACAACCGACCCAAAAGGGAAGTACATTTTCCTCTGGGGGTAGGAAAATCATGATCGGGTACATATTGCCATGTGTGTCATTCCCGATGTTCTATTTCTTCCAGCCTCACAAGCATAACTCTTATCACAATATTTGCATTGAGCCTTCACTTTTTCATTCCTCGTAACTTTAATGAAGTGTTGTCATGCCCTAGATCTCTTCTTATTAGGAGGTTGTTGTTATTCAGATAGTTCTGGAGGTGGAACTGGAGTTGAATTTGGAGTCGGAGTTGAGGTTGGTGTTGGACTTCTTGTAGTTTGAGACGGGCCCGAAGTTGAAGTTGGAGTTGGAGTGGCAGCCATATTAGTACGAATATTTCATTGTTCTTGAGAGGATGGATGAAGAGGTAGGCGCCCTGAACCTGATGAAAACATCCTTTATATGCAAAAGATATTCAAATTAGTAAGAAATAATCAATCTCAATAACAATAAAAAGTAGACATAGTTGCCAATAAAAGCGAAATACTTACTTCTACTCTATATAATTAATTAACATGAAAGCCATGCTAAACTCATTTAATGCTCACTTTCATTTCTCCTACCTCCATCAATAATATTTAATTTATTACTATTATGAATGTCACAATGAAAGCAGTTAAATGCACTAGTATGAATACTTAAAACTATTTTCACATAGCAAAGTGGGTTCTAGAAGAAAATGAGAAATAGATGAACTATGAAAAGTTTTTTCTTTACCAAACACAAGGCTTGCATCATTATGGCTCAAAACATCTCTGTGAGTCTCTTAGGTGTCAAGGAACCCTAACATATATAATGACACTTCAATATATAACCATCCAAATTATTAGACCTTGTTGTAGTATATTTGTATCTATTCTACTTAAAATTATTAGACCTTTATCTCATACAGGTTGCTTAGTAATACAATGTTTAAACCGTAACATATATAATGACACTTCAATATATAACCATCCAAATTGACATTTTATTTTGTCTCCTATTTCTTTTTCTTTTTTAAATTGAGAATTATCGTTTTATAATGTTTTTTGCAAGTGCACTTGTGTTCATACCCTTTTTGTATGCTACATATTATGTGTGTATGAAAAGAGACCAACAAGTTTTTGGCGCAATTGTCAGGGACTAGGCATCATGTAGTAGATGATTAGCTTTTCTAGTGTAGTTTATGTTTGTTGGTTTGCTTTTTATTTGATTTGGTTACTTTACTTTACATGTTCTACTTAGGTACGATGGCCTACAATGGTTGTTATCTGTGGCCAACCGAGGGAACAACACTTTGTTATTGTATATATTGCAAGGGAGAGCGCACTATCGTCAGTTCCCCAATGAATCCTAATTATTTGTAGTATGTGAATACATACATGAGTAATCAATATGAGCCAAGTCCCGCCTACAAATAGGGCTAAGCACGGTTCGGGAAACCGCCCGAACGGACCTAATATTTTGGTCCGAATCGATTACCGAACCGAAAATTCGGTCCGGTAATCGATTCTTGTCTCAGAATCGACTCCTATAAGGTGTCGGTTTCGGTTAAATCGTTTGGTTTCCTGAACCGAACCGGTTGTATCGAACAGTAAATTATATTTTTTTTCCATATCCCAATTTCCTATTTTCCCATCACATACGCACGACCCAAATACAGCAGTCCAGCCTCCGACGACCCAAATTTTCGCTTCGCTTGCGCCTACAACAGCCCACTTCCCCGGTCCGGTTTGCCTCCTCCTCCTCCTACAGGTATGTAAGCTCCTCCGCTAATTGGTTTGCTTTCTCGTATCGTTCCATGGATCTCAAGTGCGAAATCGAAGTCCCCTGTTTTCTTAAAATTACTTATTCTTTGCTATTAATTTCCCTTTTGGAACTAATTTATCAGCTGTTGTATCATTTTCTCTTCTAATTTGTTATGAAGCCATATTTTTGTTGAGCAATCAAAATATTAATAGACTTTACTAATGAGGTTATGGCAATGTTTCATTAGTGGATTATTCCTCTGACGTGGCCATGAAACAGACAGTGTTCCCACTCTGTCTAGTTAATCGACTAAAATTATGGTGCTTATAGACCAACAAAGGAACCAGAAAAAAAAAGGCTAATTGATTTTACTAATTTGCTTGTTTGATCACCAGTTCCTTTTTTTCTTTTTGGTTGGTGTGGGGGTCTATTGGGGGTTTTAGCTAATTTGTGTTCATCGTGCTACCCATGTATTATAATTAGTCTTATATATCTCCACAATTGCATAAGATCCTAACAATAATGTTGAGTCCACACTATTCTTGGGGAACTCTAAACTTGATTGAAGCATTAATGAATCGATCCACACGCAAAGGTATGATAAATTAAGGTATATTTCTATCCCTAATCGAAAGCCACAAATTAACCCTAGCCTAATCCTCAAATTACTTTTTCAAGTCTCATTAAGGATGCAAGAAACACATAACAAGCTGATCAATCAAATTACATGTAAATAAGCCTTAAGATTAATTAATCAAGTAATTAAACACTAGTTGTAAAAATCCTCAATTAAGCATATTTAACTATCACATAAGCTCCATATTCCCTAGATATCAAAGATCTAGCCACACATCATCATAAATCTAAATATTACATTAAGTAAATTCATAATCAACATTTTATAGACAAAATAAGATTAGAATTCACAAATAGAAAAGAGAGAAATGCTAGATGTTGGATTAATTGAAAGCTCCTTCTTCAAATCCTTTGAAATCCTCCTAAACTTATCTACTTTAATCTACTCCTAGGATATTTACAAGAGAGAAAATTGAAAAGTGAGGTAATGGGTGAAAGTGGTAAGGGTTTTGTAAGACAAATCAAACAGAATATATGTCTAAGCATAGGATGCAGCAGAAGAAAGTGTTTAGATGAGAAAATTCATCCAATGGTTGGATGAA